CCAGCTTCGGAGCCACCGGTTCCATTGAAAAATACAGCATTTCGTGCGTTCGCTATCTCTCCACAATGCATTTTGTATTGCGCCTGCCACGAAATCTGCACATGGAGGTGCACAAAGTGCTGTGCCTGCCACGAAATCTGCACATGGAGGTTCACAAAGTGCTGCACCTGCCACGAAATCTGCACATGGAGGTTCGCAAAGTGCTGTGCCTGCCACGAAATCTGCGCATGGATTTTTTCAAAGTGCTGCACCTGCCACGAAATCTGCACATGGAGGTTCACAAAGTGCTGCGCGGAGTATCTGGCGAGCTGGACGATGAGAACTGGCGACTTTGTAGTACAACTTTAGTACGCGGAGTATCTGTGGAGCTGGAAGCTGAGAACTGGCGACTTTCTAGTACAACTTTAGTACGCGGAGCAATCTGTAGCGCTGGAAGCTGAGAACTGGCGAGTTTCTATTACAACTCTAGTACGCGGAGCAATCTGTAGAGCTGGAAGCTGAGAACTGGCGACATTGTAGTACAACTTTAGTACGCGGAGTATCTGGCAAGCTGGACGATGAGAACTGGCGACTTCGTAGTACAACTTTAGTACGCGGAGTATCTGTGGAGCTGGAAGCTGAGAACTGGCGACTTCGTAGTACAACTTTAGTACGCGGAGCAATCTGTAGAGCTGGAAGCTGAGAACTGGCGACTTTCTAGTACAACTTTAGTACGCGGAGCAATCTGTAGAGCTGGAAGGTGAGAACGGGCGACTGTGTAGTACAACTTTAGTACGCGGGCGGAGCAATCTGTAGAGCTGGAACCTGAGAACTGGCGACTTTCTAGTACAACTTTAGTACGCGGAGCAATCTGTAGAGCTGGAAGCTGAGAACTGGCGACTTTCAAGTACAACTTTACGCGGAGCATCTGGGGAGCTGGAAGATGAGAACTGACCGGCGACTTTCTAGTACAACTTTAGCACGCGGAACAACCTGTGGAGCTGGAAGCTGAGAACTGGTCACTTTGTAGTACAAGTGTAGTACGCGGAGGAGTCATCTCTCGCTGCTGAGTCAGCTCTCGCTGCTGTGAGTCATCTCTCGCTGCTCAATTATCTCTCGCTGCTGAGTCAGCTCTCGCTATAGCCATCTCTCGCTGCTGAGTCATCTCTCGCGGCGTGCAGGTTTGGCACAGTTCATACTGATAGTATTTGGTTGCATTTATGCAGGACAGGACACTCAACTGCTGGTTAATACACCACTCATCATACACCACTCAGCATACACCACTCATCATACACCACTCGTCATACACCACTCATCATACACCACTCGTCATACACCCCTCTTGTCGTGTCAAAAATACAACCCAGTACGCTGTTGTGAGCTGCTGATCCTGCAGGGGGCACACACCTTACAAACGTGGAATCCCGTGGGTCAAAAGTCCGGACCGCGTGCGTTTGACTGGAGGACGCGCATGTTGGAGAGAACGTGGACACTCCTATAGGTCAATTTGTTCTTATAGGAAACTTCCGCCGCCGGCTTGCCCGGGAACTACTTGTATAAAGTAACATCCAAACTTTGGGGATTCGTGGCTAGAGATCACTAGATGTCTCTAGAGCCTGGAGCTGGCAACGCGGAAAACCTCGCGATCCGAGCAACCACCATTCCGATTCCCCCCTCATGTAATCAGTTAACTTCGTTGTGCAAGACCCCGGTCATCCATGATATCCATGGGGCAAGGCTTACATGGAGAGTTGAGAGGTCCTCAGAATCTGGTACCTAGTTGGTGTCTGTAATTTAAGCCATGCCTTTTTGTTTATAATGTTTCTTTCTAAAACACAAAAGGCTCTCAAAAATGGAAAAGACTCCACCACCTGCTGCTGTGACCCAAAAATTCCCGTTTGACACCCGCTGCTGGTGCAGATGGAGCCCCAGGGCAGTGACCACAGATCGCACCACATCAGGGCACTGAAGAAGCCCCTACACCTCAAGTTACTACACTCTTTTCCAAACACATGGGCCTTTGGTTAAATGGATGTCAGCCGGGCCCGACCATGAAATCCCAATACCAAACAGGGTGTTTTCCATGTTAGTGAGTCAGAGGGTACTCTTTTGAGGGTCCTAAGAAAATTTCCTTTTTGAATATCCAGATCTGCTGAGATGGAAACTGCGGGTCGGTGGAATAAAGAAATTGGGCCAACCATTTCTTCTCCATCGGTGTGACCCCCATTTCATTAGCCCAGGCCTTGCCAAGTGTCCATATGAAAAACGCTTGTAGGACACCTGATCCACTTCCCATGGCAGCAAACGTCCATGGACACCCCGACCCCAACCTCGCAACTCCCCCAACCCGCGAGGTCAACCTCTACTGTCCGAGCCAAAACGTGGGCGCATTTGAACTCTCTGTGTCGGTCCCATGGTTTTTTCATGTTTTTTCTATATCCAGTGAGTTCCTTTCCTTTCATATCGATATGGTACGGTAAAGAGAAGGCAGTACTCAAATGGGAGGATCAATGGATCATAATAGATCTCATCCTAAGGACCCTTGGACTAGGCGGAGCTGTGACTCCAAGTCTTACTGTATGTCCCCCTGAGACCTGGAGATCACATCGCAAACATCACTCGTCCAAAACAAAACCCAAACGAAAGCAGGCTTCGGCATGCTTCGGCCTTTTCCCATGTCCTCCAGGTAGTGAAGTGCTTTCTGAGAATCAAGACTTAAGACCACGAAAAACGATGTGTTTCACACAAACATACTTTTGAGTTTCTCCGCAGACCCCTCTTCTGGAGCAAGACTGGCGAGAATGTGCCTATTTTCCTTCTCCATATTCTCCAAACCATGTTGACAAATTACACCCTTCACCTTCCCACTCACCTGCGCGACGGAAAACACAGGCACCTCGCAGAGAGCGTGAAAGCGTACGGTCCAGTTCCACCTGGCGTTCGTGCGTGATCTCCGGCGATCCCGTTCACCTGGGATCGACCACGACGGGTCTGTGCTTTCGTCGTCGTCCGGGACCCTTCGACGCTTCGGTGTGGTGAGCCGGGAAACCCCTGTGGTGTCGACCCCCTGGTATCGACCCTTGGCCGAAATACCAAACGGAGAAAATCCCAAACAGGAACAGCGGAGGAGTGCTGTTTCGAACGAAATCCCAAACACACGCAAAGATGTTTCACAGGTCCCTCGTCACCAGGTAAGTGGATAGACGTCAACATGTTTCCTCCGTTCAAATTCATTGATGTTCAAAGTAAGGTCAAGCTGTTGTTATATAAACGTGCAAACAGCCTTTGTTGTGTGCAAAAAAAACTTGAGGACAGTGGGGACGAAAGCGAGGGGTGTGGAAGGATCAAGGGGACGCGGAGGGAGGGCAGCAACGCAACGCTTTTGTGCCACGAGCGCAAAATGTTGTTGGCTCAGTCAACCGAACACTAAAAAAAGCCTCGACGTTCATATTGTCTTTTCGAGGGATTTGGTATGCTTTCTCACAAGGACGAGGGAGGAGTCGAACAGATTCTTTCAATTCACTTTACGGGGGGGGGGGGGCCGCACCCCCCCTTAGACGTTTCAATCTGCAATTGAAATATCAATTCCTTTGCGAGGGGGG